CGGCTGCTACTCTGAAACTTGCCTAAGGAGGTTGTAGAATCTCTGTCACTGGAGATTTTTAAGAGCAGGTTAGACAAACACCTGTCAGGGATAGTCTAGATAATACTTAGTCCTGCCTTGAGTGCAGGGGACTGGACTAGAAGACCTCTCGAGGTCCCTTCCAGTCCTATGATTCTCTGATTTTTAGCTTCAGCCAAAAGCAATACTTACTACGTTTGATCTCATTTCATCAGGAACTAAGTGAATTCTGAAGAGTTGAATTTACCTGAGCACAAACTGTTGTAAGATTTTCTCCAAAAGGCTCGATTTCTGAAGTCTGGTAATAGCCTATCAGCTGTGCAAGGCTTTCATGGGTACAGGTATCCCCTGATACTACATAATGTCCATTCCGTAGGTGATTAATGACGAAATGCCGACATCGATCTTTTCCTCTGCAATTGAAATACATAGTTTAGACTTAAATAGCAAGCACAACACACAGGCTGAGAAAACTTCTGTTTTTGCACTCATGGTTCAGGTTTGCAAAACCAAAACCTATGGGTGTTTGGAACCAGCTTCCATTTTATTTGAAACACTAAAAGAAGAGATTTTGAATGAAAGGGTCTGATTTGGCCTATTGTTGCATGGACAGCCTTAATTCTGGAATGTCCTAACTTTTGGATGCTTGACTTTTTCAACCTTAATATTTTTTAGTGTAATTTTTAAATGTAATCTCCTACATTTAAAAAACCTGAAAAAAATTGAAATTCCATCATGTGGAACCGTATTGACTTCAAATTGGGTCCTCAGCAAGATTGTAACTGTTAGCATTAGTAGGCTGTTATCCTCTATGTGGACCAGCCACTAATAAGGGATGAGAAACATACTCTGGCAGTGGATTTCACAGATACTTGCTGACCTTGGAGGAATGGTGAGATCCAGGAATAAATGGGCTCCATTCCAGGCCCTGGAGGGGAATGGGCTGTAGTGGACAGACCTTCTGTCCCAGTGCCTCTGTTTCTGTTCCCCTTTGCTCCTATCCACCCCTAATCCCAGCTCCTGCCCTGTCCCCCTCTGCTCCGATCCACAACACCCAGTCCCGACTCCTGCCCTCCTTCCCCCTCTGCTCTTATCCATCATGCCCGATCTTGGTTCCTGCCTTCCTTCTCCTTCTCTACTCCTATCCAGCCCTCTGGCTCCTGCCCACCTCCCGCTCTACTCCTATCCAATCCAGTACAGTCAGGCCATTTCTCCTTCTCACTGCCTGGGCACCACTTTGGGAAGCATTGTGAGCCCAGGAGAAGCAGTCTCCCTGCTCTCAGTTCTGGTGCCTGGGGCCACTGTGGCTGCAGGAATGCAGGAGTGGCTGTTGCAGGGAAAGACCAGCTCAGACCCTGAAGCCCTGGGATGAAACATGCTCAGTGCAGGCAGAATCTTTGAAGAATTTAGTGGTCATGTGCAAATTGAGATGTTTCAAAGGCTTTTTACATGGTGAAAATGTGGTTGTTTTTTCCCACAGGAGCAACTAATGACAGATTTCTGGCACCATCTCACACATCACCTCTGAATCTGATCCCATGAAGCTAGGGTGACCAGATCGCAAGAGTGAAATATCAGGACACATTGGGCGAGCAGGAGGGAGGGGACAACAACGACAGACACAGGTGCACAGAGCCATGAGAGGGGGCCCTAGAAAGCTGCGAGAGGGGGCCCTAGGAAGCTGTGAGAGAGGTTGTACAGCCCCTGCTACAGCCCGCACCACAAGCCACAGGGCAAGGACACCTATTGAATTCAATGAGAATTTTGCATGTGAATTGATGTACCTAGTTCTGAGATTATAAAGCCATAAGGGATCCGGTGATCACCTGGTCTCACCGCCTGTATAGCACAGACATAGAACTTTCCCAAATAATTCCTAGAGGATAGCTTTTAGAAAAAGCTTTTAGAAAAACACCATGACCTTCAGTATATTGTTAATCGTTAATTACTCTCACCATTGAAAAGGTATGCCTTCTATCCAGTCTGAATTTGTCTAACTGCAACTTCCAACCATTGGCTCATGCTCTACCTTTCTCTGCTAGACTGAAGTGCCCATTATTAACTATTTGTTCCCCATGTAGATACTTACAGTCTATAACCAAGTCACTTAACCTTTTTGTTAAGCTAAATAGATTGAGGTCCTTGAGTCGATCACTATAAGGCATGTTTTATAATCCTTTAATCAGTCTTGTGACTCTTCTCTGAACACTCTCCAATTTATCAATATCCTTCTTAAATTGTGCACACCAGAACTGGACACAGTATTCCACCAGTGGTTGCACCAGTGCCAAATACAGAGATAAAATAACCTCTCTACTCCTGCTTGAGATTCCCCTATTTAGGCATCTGGTCACCCTATTTCTGTATGCATTTCCCCAGGTTTTTTTGTAAAAATCAAAACTGAACTGCCCCAGAAATTCTGTTATGTGGAATCATCGTGAAACTCGCATGGCTCCAACCCTGCTGATGAACCTTTAGATCCACTGCACAGACTTCTGCCACTTGAGCTAATGGAGTAAGTGATGGCAGAGGCAGTAGGTTGTCATCCTATATGTGATAGATCAGCTCTA